TGCAAATGCACCCTGGGACTGCTGAGGGTTAGAACCCCTCTGCCTCCTACCATCCCCCTGGCCATCCTGACTCCTCTTGGAGCCCCTCATCCTCTCCTCCTCCTCATGCATAATAATCTCAAGATGCGCTGCAGCATCCACAAGGCGCCCATACTCCCGAGTCATGGACCCAGCAACTCTGAGCTTGAGTCCGGTCCTTAACTTCTTCTCGAACTCAAGACAACGATGTTCTTCAGACACCACTAGCTCAGGTGCAAGCCTAGATAAACTGGTAAATACGGCCTCAAACTCGGCCATTGGTGTATTCAGCTGCTCGAGCTGACAGAACTGATCCCTCAACTTCTCCCTAACAGCGGGAGGCAAAAACTTTTCCTGGAAGGCACCAACGAAAGCCTTCCAAGTCCCACTAATATGGCCCCGAACAAATTTCCACCACTGACCCGCGTCTCCCTTCAGCTGGAAGGACGCCAAGGTCACCCGTAAACCTCTGTCTTCGATGCCAAGCATCTTAAACGTCTTCGTCATCTGCTCAAGCCACTCATCACCCTTAAGTGGCTCTTTAGGATCTCCCAGAAACTCGTTCGGGTTAGACCGGAAAAACTCCCTCTTCAGAAAAGAAGGCCCTGCCTCAGCATGGGCCTGGACTTGATTCTCAGCTCTGAGAATGTCCAAGGATTCCTTCAATGCTCCTGCCATCTCGCGGGCTAAGGCGCCCATGGCCTGCTGATCTACTGGCTCAGCCACATTGACCTGACCAACACCCTCCTGCTGCGCCGGAATCTCATCTGGTATAGGCATCTCCTGCCTTCTAGGCCTACCTTGCTTACCACCATGTCCTCGTCCCGACATCCTAATAAAGGTAACGAAAACATTAGCACATTTACAAATGTGCCGAAGCTATCTCACTCACGCCCTAAAGCATTGGATAACAGTAATTCATTCCACGTAAGCATATAATCACATAAGCACTTACGAATTTCATTTCCGGATAATGATAGTCCCGAGGCGTTACTAGAGTTCCGATTAGCAACAGCATTGATCAAGTGCTTTTCCAACAGGACTCCTAGAAACCCAAGGATCCAATCAACATCCTAGAAACTAAATCCTATACCCATATAGTCACATAAGCATGTTATCACATAAGCACATAACATCATGCATAAGCCTCTAACAAGCGAGACAAAACCCAATGTGGTACTAACCACTTCCCACGTACCCGAAGTGTTCAAACCCGGTACGCTCTGATACCATGTTGTAACGCCTTCAAAATAATACATATAAACCCACATTCTTGACATGCATAGACATAAGAGAATAAAGTATATTTCCATTTATCATAGTATTAAATACAAAAGTATTACATGTTGACATCAAAAGTCAATGCCCTACGGGCTTACAACTTTCCAAGTCAACACTTGGTTACAACAAAAGAAGAGTCTAACTCTTTATACAAAATAAGCCCTTGGCTTGAATTTACATGTAATACCAAAAAGATAACAACAAAAGATCTCTCAGCCTCTAAGCCTCCCAAGCTACGTCCTTGGAGGTGGCATACTATCTGTATCTGAAAATGATGTCCCATATAAGGTGAGCCAAAGCCCAGTAGAGATATACTAAACCAAATATGAGCAATAACTAAAACATTAGCATTCGATAAAAGGTTAACACTTGTAAACCAACCTATAACACTTTCCAGTTTCATAACAAACACACTCGTGTTTCATTCCACTTTCCTTTACTTAACCAATTTCAATTCATAAACATGGCTCATTGTCTAGCCAAATAATTAAATGAGATTATAATTCACATTAAAACACTTCCATCATCCGCAATTCAAATGAGACTACATCTCATATTAAACACTTCCATACTTCAATTATCTACGTTATGCAAACGTAATTAAGATTCCGAGACTTTCACCCTGCACACTCCGGCCAACTTAGTTATAAATGGAGTCCATTCCCTATCTCCTCCCAAACAGGTTTGAGAGTGCATCCCCTATCTCCTCTCAAACCATGGGGTACATCCCCTATCTTCTCCCATACAATATACATATACAATGTATTTAAACACTTATCATATACAATGATCATTCAATATACATATTCAATGTATTATTCCAACCGTCATATTCAATGACATATTCAAGGTGATTAGTTTCAATTTTCCCTAATCAACATACAGTGTCTACAACAATCAAGACTATCTTCCATCGATAGCCCAAAGCAGTTATCTCTAAACAGATAATAAATTTATCAAACAGATAAAATATCAACATTTTCATAGGTGAGTGATTAACTAATCCAACTACACCATTTAATCCCATAATTTTCCAATTTCATGATTTTCAACTCAACTCCACTCTTACTCAAATTAATTATTCAACATAACTAGGGCATTTTTCCCTTATTCACAAGGTTGCCCCCAAGGCTCAAATTTCACTCATATTTCATAACCAACACCAATTTCAAGTCTTTTACACATATTTGACCCAAACAAGGAAAACCCCTCTTTTATAAATTACAAATCAAACCCTAATTTTTCCAAAATTACCACAATTCACCAATTGATCAAAATGACTAAAATTTATGTCAAAACCCATAAGAAGGAGTAGGGTATCCCTACCTCAAAAGAAGAGACCCAAAGGAGAAGATGACAAAACTCAAGATGCTTCAAATCTGAAGATTTTCGGATCAAAACGAAGGCCACGCCAAGCTCCATACTTTTTACAAAGGAACTAGGATAGGAGACCACTTGAGCTAGATGGATTTTTAGAGAGAAAGTATGTAAAGAGAGAGGAAGCAGCCGTTCTAGGGTTTGTGTAAAAGAGATGATGAAAAAGTGAAGAAGGAGCTGCTGTTGCGAACTGATATGTTCGAGGCTCGCTCAAGCGAAGGAGTGGTCGCTCGAGCGACCTGACACAAGGAAACCTCGCTCGAGCGCAGAAAGCCTCGCTCGAGCCAACAACACGAAGCTTCAGGTCTGCAACCCAAAAGCACACTTGAGCGAAGAAAAGCTCGCTCGAGCGAAGAAACCCAAAACATAGTCCTCGCTCGCTCGAGCCAAGAAATGCAATCTTCAGGTCCAAAACTAGACGTAGACGCAAGCTCGAGTGCAAGACTTCTCGCTCGAGCCAACAGACACACCACTCAACTCTCGCTCGAGCGAAGGAACTAAAACACAGAGCTCGCTCGAGTGACAAAAGCCTTGCTCGAGCGAAGACACCAAAAATTGGGCAGCAATCTTTTGTTTCTAATCACAACCAACCTATTACAAACCTGCCCAACATGTCCTAAAACTCATATACAAAGAATTAAAGGACGGAAATGAAACCTATACAACAACAAATAGCTACGGAACCGAGTCCGGAATACAATAACAAATGGAGGGAAAATCGGGATCGCTATACTACATCATCACCAGACAAAGGCAACAGAAGAACCAATTGATATGTACAACATAACTTACACTAACGATACCCTCAGATGATCCAATTGACAATTGGGGACAACATCATAACAATCAACAACAAAATGTTTCATTAAAAAAATTCATTCATCCATTAAGCATAAAAAAGAATGAAACTGGCAATGGAGAACCAAAACCAAATCTAACAGAAGAGTCACTCTAAATCTACTGAATCCAGTAGAAAAGTCACACCACATCCACAACAGAGACAAGATGAAAAGAAAGGGGAAAGGATTATGAAGTGGCCTACTACTTCAAACTAATTTAACAGCTTGAGATTAGCCAGCAAAATGTACCTTAAAAATAAATTATATTGTAATAGCGAGTTATAATCCATTGAAAAGCAAAATTATATTGTAACAGTGAGCTACAAGTTTGGTAGGTAGGTAATTGAGTGAAGAACATGATTTTGGATGGTTCTCTTTGTTCTCTAGCAAGCAGGGTATAATGGAGATAGGGCCCTCCCTCCCTCCTGTTGAAATCATAATCATATAGAAAGAAAGAAGTCAATAATGACGTCTCCATGTCATTCTCAATGATGTTCTGTAATAACCCTCACCACTGATTACTAATAACCCTACTGATTACTGCTAAACTGAGATTGATTATGATAAGTAATTGAATCGACTGAAATACTGAACTGACTGATTAAATGTACTAGTTTAAATGCATTTCTATCTGTTTGACTGTTAAATTATCTACTACTTTTTTACTCATTTCCTTACTTGAGTGGTAGCTAGCGAGCATGACTTTAAAACAAAAGTTTGATAGAAAATAAGAACACTTTTTTTTCTACAACTCCATGACTGTAATTGTTATTGCCAAATTATAATGAGAAAATTATAGACCAGATAGTTCAAAAAAAATTATTATAAATTTATATTTCTAATTATTCATATTTATAAAATTTATTACGTGTTTATAATTATTTTTTAAAATCATTTTTGAATTAAAATTTCTCCAATTATAATTACTTTGAACTCACCATCTACATCTTCATATATGAAGGATTTTTACTTCCAACGCATCCTCTAAAATCAGAGGAGAGGATGGATTGATCCTCCAAATATAGAGAGAGGATGAGAAATGAAGGAGTATCTCTATAACACTAATTGTTGGAGTGTTTACCAAAATAAATAAATAATCATAGAGTCAAAATAAATATAGGCAATAATCATTACCATGAGAAGACACTAGATTTACGTGGTTCGGCATAGTTGCCTACATCCAAGGATATTACCCTTCGTTCACTATATTAAATATCTATATAACAAAACAACTCTATTTTTTACTCCTGATGAAACTTTTGTCCCTTTGTCAAAACATGGACCATTAGATTGAATTCAATCCAAGGGCTCACATTTACATTTTCAACACACACCATCTCTCTCTCTCTCTCTCTCACACACACACACACACACGCACACACACTCCTCTCAAATTTTGAACACACTCCTCTTTCAAATTTTGAACACACACCCTCTCTCTCTCTACCTCCATCAGAGCCCATTCCCGTGCTTCCCTGTTCAAATTTTGAACACATTCTTTCAATTTTTAAACACACACCCTCTCTCTCTATCTACCTCCATCGGAGCCCATTTCCATGCTTCCCTATCGGAGCCCAACCCTCACCAGCGATTGAACCCCAAACCCCTTATTAGTCTCTTCATCTTCTCTCTTCTTCCATCTATCTCTCCGCCATCTCAATCGTCATCAACAGTGGCAGCCCCAAAGACGAAGACCGAATACAAGGGTGTTCAACAAAGGAAGAATCTGATAGAAATACTGTTCAGGTGAGCAAACCCATCTTATTTGAGAACCAAAATTAAAACCTATGCCTGTGTATTTGGCAACCAAAATTGGCTTGAAAGCATATAAAGCTGTATTGGAATCCTGTGCCCATGTATGGATTTCATGAAGGTAAATTTCCAAAAGATTCACAATTGCCTATTTCGGATGATTATAAAGATTTTTTAAATATTTTTTATTTTTTTAAAACCTGTTTTGCTTTGGTTTATCAGTTCTCTCAGGCTGCTAACTTCTCTTTTGCTTATTTGGTTGTATTAATTTCCTTAATGTTTACAAATGGAGTGCTTTTTTGGGGATAATGTCTATGATGCTTTATTTTGCTTCACTTCACATTGTGTTCATATGATGCTTTTCAGTTGGTTTATTAAACATCAGTCGTTTTGAGAATAAAAATTTTCCCCATTATATTTTGGGAATGTAAACATCAATTAATACACTTTGTATTTGAGCAAACAATGGGGAAAATAGAAACCTGGGCTTTCATTTTTCTTGAGTATTTATATTTCTATCTTTAGATATCTTTTGTTTCAATAATGTTTCAATAATTTTTACTCTAATTTTTGGATATCTTTTGTTTCAATAATCAACAGGTTTGTCCAATTTAATTGCTTTATTGATTTTACAGTTTGTGATTGAAACATTGTGTCTGATTTTTATAGTTTATAGTGACTCTGGTTTACATCCAACCCGTTCGAGTTTCATTGTCTTATATGGTTGTTCATGTCATGTTTCCCCTTAGTCCTCAATGATTTTGGGTATTGGGGTGTGTTGGTTGCATTTTGAGTAGGTTGGTTACATCTTTCTAAATCTGTTGTTGCCCTGAATTTTGTCTCTACGCTCGAGCGGTGTTTGAAAACTCTCAGTACTTTTACAGGTTTACAAAACTATTGGGAGGGTGCATTCTTCACTTGAGCGATGATTCCTGCGCTCAAGCGGTGTCATTTGTTGTGTCTGGACGCTCGAGTGACGTTTCTTGCGCTCGAGTGGTTTGTCCGAATTCAACAATTGTAAAAGTCACTTTTGATCACATCTGGATCACTTTTCTCTCTCCCTTCTCTCTCTCTCAAATGCCGAAACTCTTTTATATTCCTTGACACAGAGGTGTTGTTGTTGGTGTGTTTCTATCTAATCTCTATCTATATATATAGCAGGTGCGACGATTACCAACGGAGAAGAGTCTTTAAAAAAAAAAAAAAACTTTCTTTGTGGTTTCATCGTTTTTACATTGTGCGTTTGATTCATCATTTTGATTTCAATAAATATTTAAAAAATAAAAATAAAAAAGACAGGTAAAATATAAATTATTTTTGTAAGGTTCATGATATTAAAATTTTATAAGATAAAAGATATATAATATGTTCATAATAGTTAAGGTTCCTCAACATTTCCGCAGAGAAAATTTAACTTAGAGAAATTTCGCCTCGATTTAGAGAAATTTCAATTTTCACAAAGAAATTTCTCTGTGATCATACCGAAGAAATTTTGAAATTTCTCTAAGTTAAGGCCGAATTTCTCTAAGTCGGGCAAAATTTCTCCGAGTCAAATTTCCTCTGTAAAAATGTTTAGGAACCTTAGTTAATAAAAAAAATATCTTAGACTTCACATACTATATAAAGTTGGAGAGGGATGTTTCACTAATTTTCCCAATATAGGTACTATTTGGTATGACTTAAAAAAGTATATTTTTATTTTTTATTTTTTTAAGTTACATTACTTTTTTACTTTTCTATATATTTTTTTATAAAAAATTAAAAAGTACACTTATTTAAATTATTCCAAACACTCTCATAATTATATTTTAAGTATAAACTCTCTTTTCTTTTTTAAATTTCTTTCAAATTTATGACAAATATAATTTTGAGATTTATTTAAAATATAAATTGCTCTTTATAATTTTGAAAATTATGTCTTGTCTTTTTAAATTTCTAATTGCATAATAAATGACTCAATGTTATTAATAAATCATTACGTCAATTAATAATTTTTAATTATGTCAAAAAATATATTTTAATTAACAATTTTGATAATTTTATTGTTGTATAAAAAAATAGTAAAAAAATTCAATTTTTTTGTTAATTCTGTTAAACAAATTTTTTAAACAAGATATATTTATAATTTTCAAAATTACATTGAGCAATCTATATTTTCAGTAAACTAATTGTAATTTACCCTTACACCTTAAATATAAGTGACGTGAAATATATTACATCATATTATTATTTAGGTAAATTACATGAGATTTAAATAAAATACAGTAAGTCTCATATAATTACCGTTACTTTTATTTTAGTAAGATTAAAGAGATTAAAATTAATACAGATAGTATAAAAACATTACGATACACAAGATAAATATATATTTCAATATAAAAGAAATGGTAACATCAATTTTCATTCATAAGATTAACGAATTTCTGATAAAAAAAAAGGTCAAATGTTATATGAATTAAAACTTTAGAAAAATCTAGTATAATTATGTCAAATTTGTGGAGCTTATATTTTATTTAAACCTTGGGAAATGTCAATGTAATTTACCCTTATTATTTTTATATTTTTTTATTAAATATTTTATTCTTATTTTTGTCTTACTAATTTACTTTCATATTATATTTTTTAACTACTCTAATCATATTTTTTATTTTCACTAATTAAAATATAAAAAAATATATTCTTTATTTTACTTAATTCAGTTTTTTATTTGTGTACTCTAATTTTGCTTTTTATTTGTTACTTATTTATCTATAAAATAGAATTTTATTTTTATAATCTGTCAATAAATAAAATTTTAAAATTCAAGTAGCAATGGTTAATAGTTATTATCTTGTGGATTAACACTACAAAAAATTAAGGTTTTAGAGACCAAAATTTATGGACAAAATTATTTTTTGGAACCAAATATTTTTGTTGTGAAAAGTATCGTTATTATATTTTTAGTAACAAAAAATAGACATTAGTGATGAATTATTATCATTTTGGGACCAAATTTTTTGTCTCAAAAAATAAACCATTTTGAGACTAAATTATTTTGTTCCTAGAAGTCTATTTATTAGTGACATTTTTAAAATTTTATCGCTAAAAGCCTTATTTTGGAGTTTTCGAGACGACCTTTTAGCGACTATCCTTATGACGATAGAAATTAGTTCCTAAATATCTTTTACAGCAAAATTTTCACTTTTAGAGAACAAAACATGTGATGTCTAAAACTCTTATTTGTTGTAGTATAACTTTCGTGTTGATTATGGGATTATGAATGGATTTTCAAAAAATGATGAAAGGAGGTTAAGATTATAAAATTTCACTTGACATAAAAAAAGTCAACGTTTTAAAACACCAATTTCGATCTTTAATTTATAGATAGATAGATTACTACATATATGTTGATTTTGTCACCATGTCATATTATTCGATATGTGACAAGATATTATTTATTTTTATTAATTTCTTAAGTATGATTAAACAATACAATACGGTGATAAAAATTCGATGGCACATAACGTTTGTCATATATTTATAATGCGTGTTCTTAATTTTTAAGAAGGAAAGTTTTAAAATTTTACATGTTTTTTATTATATAAAATATTTTTAATTTTTGTGGTAAAGATACACATTAATAAAATAAAAAATAAAATCTTTTTCTGGTAAAGATACACATTAATAAAATAAAAAATAAAATCTTTTTCTATGTTGTAGAAGATAATTGTAAGAAAAATGTTTGAAAGTCTTAAAACAATTCTTACAATTTAACTTACAATTGGAACAATCTTCTGTGTCAATTAAATAACTTGAAACAAATCAAACAAATAAAAATAAATTACTTATATAATTTATTTTACCAAAATGTAAGGGTACAAAAAGATCAAGTCGAGTGTGTGACACTCTGTCCTTAAGACAGATTCGTCTCGCTACGATGCTTACGGACAAATGGCGTTTATCTCCTAGGATACAATGATCTTCACAAATTGTAGTAGCACTCCAAACAATTTGTACGGCGAACAAACCTGTGTTCTATACTCTCTGAATTTTTCTCTAAACCTAGTATGAAGAATAATAATGTAAGAGAGCAAAAATGAAGGCAAGAAAATCAATTTTTTGGAATCCACAAATGCTGGAACAGATCTGGTGTTTATAGACCTAAACAGGTGTTATTTTCAAACTGGATCAGATTGGTTTTGAAACCAACAGGTGCATTATTGTTAGAACAGATAACTACTGGGCAGTTTTATCCGTTTGAAATTGCAGCAGTTATAAACTTGTCCAGAAAATCCGAACAGGTATGAAATCTACCGAACAGATACAGATCTGAAACTAAACAGATATGCAACTGCTTTGAACAGCTACAGTTCAAATTTTGAACAGATCTGGTCACGTTGAATCTGTAAACTGCTGGCAGTTTAAAAAACCTGTTTAATAGTTGGAAATTTAGTGGAATTCGGAGGCATAATTTTTGGACAATAAATTTGAATTCAAATTTGAATTAAATCCAATTTGAAATTCAAATAATTTCTGCAAGAATTTGAAAAAATTCAAATAAATTTTGTTCAAAAAAAATTAATGTTAGAACCGACCCGACCCACAACCCACACCCGGCACGGCTCGACGGATGGACTGCGGCGGCGCACGCACGTGTGTGTGGTGGTTTGGGCTAAGGTTTACATTGTCCATAACTCCTCTCTTCTACAAACTTAGGGTGCTCCTTGGAGCCCAACCCAAGTGTTGCAATCTAGAGCTTATAAATATACACAAGCTCTCTTAAAGTTTCAATGTGGGACAACCCATTTCAAGGAAACCCACATTTAATTATTTAATTGTCTATTCCACGAACCTAAAAACGACGTCAACTTCTCATTCACTCATAAATGGTTTTAACGAACCGTCTTCACCGTATGACTTGCCATTAGGCAAGGAACGTGTCATCTTTTCGGACCTATCCCAAAAGATGTTTGGGACCTACTCAAAATTGAGCTCAAAGTTGGCCCAAAATAAGCCTATAAAAACCAAATTTTCTAGCAATCCCCCTACATGAATGGAATTTGACGGAGAGAAAATGCAACAACATGATCTAATTACAGGGAGTACAGAAATTGGAAATATTCTGCAAATGATAGGTAGCTTTTGGCTTTGAACCTTCCCTTGTGAGACACTATCGGATTTACTAGCTAATCAGTGAACATGATGTCTTAAACTGTTCATTCGTTTGTGTACACTAAGACAATAGAACTCACACAGTATATCACCAGACACAGTTTAGTTCTCACTATTGTGTTCATTTTGGCCCTGAACAACCTGGTCTTTCATGAGTGCTTTAGAGAATTGTCGCCCTTCACAAATCTCATAGAACCAGCCCAGTTCACACTTACATAGGTGATTCTTATGAAGAGTATCCTGCTATATTCCACTAGGTTTACCTAGATATAAGAATCATTAAAATTTTACTTAACCTAAAACGCTACAGACATTACTATTTCATCATAGAAATGAGTAGGAGTTTGACTCCCTAGTGATCCTTATGAGTCATATACAACTCGGTTGTCCCTTTGAACCTAGATCTTGCGATCTCTAGTCAACTAGCTTGGGTTGCCGCTATGGTAACTCTTATTTAATAGGCTTAAGTCCCATTCCCCTCGATGAATTCTTAACTAACTCTCTTGCTAACACTTTGGTTAGTGGATTCGTTATATTGTCTTTAGACTTCACATATTCAATGAAAATAATTCCATTAGAGAGTAGTTGTCTCATGGTGTTATGTTGACGACGAGTGTGTCGTGACTTACTGTTATACATATGACTCTGTGCTCTACCTATTGTTGATTGACTATCACAATGTATGCATATAGCAGGCACCGATTTTAGCCACATTGGAATATCTTCAAGAAAGTGGTGAAGCCATTCTGCTTCTTTCCCAGCTTTATCTAAAGCTATGAATTCTGATTCCATAGTAGACCTAGCAATGCAAGTCTGTTCGGAAGATTTCCAAGATACAGCCGCACCACCAAGAGTAAAGACATACCTACTGGTGGATTTTGAGTCTCTAATATCCGATATCCAGTTTGCATCATAGTATCCTTCAAGTACTGTTGGATATCTAGTATAATTTAGCCCAATGTTACGAGTAAATCAGAGATATCTTAGAACCCTTATAATTGCTTTCCAGTGTTCTACTCCCGGATTACTCGTATATATACTTAATTTACTTACTGCATAAGCTATATCTGGGCGAGTGCAATTCATC